AGCTGCGACAACACATTGGATCGACACAATCAGTGTTAAATGTAGGGAGTACACAAAAAATGACTTTATTATGTTCCAGGCACAGTTGAACGCTGTAGATGCGGATATGCAGAGAAAAAGATTGACCCTGTTGGATAATCCGGTTGAAAATAAATCATTTACTCCAGTACAGGAGCTACTCATTTAACAACAGAATCACACCAGACGTCCATCATAAGGCCTGCATACCACATAGAGGAATATAATGGAGGAAGATCAGCATTCGGAGAGAAACATTTCATTCGACGATGCAGCAACCGGTGCGTGATAGCAAAAATGTTGAAAAGCTGCGGATACAGGGAACGTTCTAATTACACATACGGCGCTGAAGATGATCTCAGCAAACCACAGACATTACAGCCGAAGCAACTGAAACATTCAAAATGCAGAGTCACAGGCGTCAATCTTTAAGAGTTCATGAATACCAACAAATGATTGCTAATGCTGTCTGGAAATGGAAAAAGAAAGCACAATATTATAGCCTCTTCAAGAAAGCGAACCAGGCTACTAAGAAGAAAAGAATGGAAAGGCGCTGGAATGGAATGGCCAAGTAAACAGACCGATCTAAACTTGGTGCCGAAGGGATGAAGGTAGAATCGGTTCAAATGAAATGGTTTGCAAATTACGTCACTCTTTTCTTGAAGAGTGCCAGCTATATTTATACAAATTTTCTATGTTATTTGTTATAGGTTAGTTAAGCTACTATGAATTCTTCAGGAGAGCATTATTCTTGATTCCAATTAAAGTTACAGCTTCCAAGCATTCAAGTATCTTCTACAACTTTGGAGCATGCACTTACGTGTACATACACTTTTCATTGCTGGCAGTGGAAAGAATAATGCTTACTTTTACGAAGCTGTCATTTGCAGAGCTCCATGTCAAAACATACCGAGATCAATCAGACAATCAAATAAATAATAACCAGCTAATATAATGAATGCGTATATATTTGATACGCAGTTTTGCATAGAGATTTCCCTTGGGCTGATTAAGCCAATGATCAAATGGTGTGAACGACGTGCATCACACAGTATGACTATAAGATGCGTTGACAACGAGTTCGAAATGAGCTCGAAACGCCGGTGCTTTCTCTAAAAATGTCTACATGCAAATCAATCTCGAAGAGAAACATGAAGAAGATGAACTAATCCCTAACATAGAAGAACTATTTACAATGTGCAACTTCTTTAGCCTCAACGAAAGCATTCAGAAACGTAACAGAAAGCCACCTCTCAGGCTCAGTAACAGATATCCACAACAGACCAGATGGCAGGGCAACCAAACCGGGCTCGACCATACGAAAAGGTGGTTCATCACTATGAATTACAAGATCGTTGCAGAACTAAACTATTTCCATAATTAAATGAAAAACAGTAAAATAAATCAATATTTGCACACATAGCAGTGTCTACTACTTCTTTAAAAACACCTATTACCTTGAGAAATTTAAATAGTTTGGAAATCTGCTTTTCGATACAATACAAGTGACTACAGCAAAGTACTTGCCATATATGCGGAATACTTTCTACTCTCGTTCACCTCGTGTACAATCAGGTAGGTTTGAAGCAATACGTTCAGTCTAATGCAGGGTTAATTCTTCGATGTACTATTGATATTCAATAGCATGCATAAATTTGGATAAATTCTTTCGCTCAGCTTCAGCATAATAATCCATTGTGAGGTCTGCGACACTCCTACTGGTCGTCTTACCATCGTAGCTCTATCGATGAGTTACCGATAAACCCGCTAATGGTTTACTTATAATTAGAATTGGAAATGATTACCGATGAAAAGCAAATCAAAGATTGTAGACCAATGCTTCGAATGGTCGGCAACGGAAAGATCGCGCGCCTTGGCAAATCTAACTATGGCAGTGCTGCCGTATACGAAACGGAATAAAACGGAATAAGGGCAATTGCGCGAGATTGCCACTGAAAACTGCGTACTTGTGAATCTTACGTAGTCCGGTGTAATCTGGCCAACGATCACTTGGTCGTCGGTTCTCTCTGTTCGACGAATTGCGGTTCGTGACGAGACGACCGGCACTGGAATGACTGGTCGGTGGCACTGCTCGTGTGGTGCCGACGAACTGTGCTCGATGGGTTTTGTAGGACGCGAATCGAGAATGGCGAGACTAGCTTCGAGAGGCGGTGCTGATGACGATGTCGAAATTGCTGGCACACGGTTCAAGGCCATGTCATCGCATCGGCCAGAGGGACCGGCGCCGATCGACGTGAACGTGCTCCTGCGCACTGCCGACAAGTGCAGGGATTTAAAAGCGGTAGCACACGAATGGCACTCAACTCACAACAGGAAAAATATTTTTCACTAGTCGATGGCGGAAACATATTTTTCAACTTTATTACCGTAGTCGTATTCACAGTGAGTCAAACCACAGAGTGGTTTGAAGGCGTCTTTGCAATAGCTTCGTCTGACCCGCTTAGACCCCTTTAACCACGGTATCTCAGTCAATAAAATTTAGCGCTAGTAGATCGGATTTGGGCAGACAATTTGCTTATTATCGCTTTGACGAAAGTAAGGGAATCTCAGTATATGCGAAGGAGAGAGTTTATACGCTGCCATTGGCACGTCGCAAAGTAAGCTACGTTCTGCAATACTGTAGCGTAATGAGGCTCGCTTAAGCAACTTCCAACTTTTAGACAACTCTGTCAGCGCTGTTACTTAGGAGTTATCAAGGCAACTCTGTTATTTTTCAGTCTCCGTTTAGAATGTGATAACGAATACGTCAGATGCGCTCTGATGCAAAGCTCACCATTCTGAAAACAGCCGTTTTCGCGATGCTCATGTATAGTCTTGAAGCATCTGCAGTGCTGAAGAATCATGAGACGCGTTTGGACAGCTTTAGAAAACGCTGCATGAGCAATTATCTCATCATGTTACGGTACCAACTGGCCACCGTTAGAATGAGAAGAGTGAGACGACAACCGGAAGAAACTATCATTCGAATTCAGAAATCAGAGCACGGATTGATTTAACTCTACGACCCAAGAAAGAATGGAAATATGTTCAAATCATTTCTCTTTTGTGAACCTCATACTGACCACAGACGCATGGGAGGACGTGGCTAACGTGGATAATCATAGTTGAGGCAGATCTGTTTGGAGGGAGGAATGTGATCTTTGCTCTAGCAGCGAACCTTGCCTAATACCAGTCTGAAGAACCATGCTTAGCGTTCTGATATCATAATTCAGGGCTATCCTTCCGTTTAAGCACAGCCAGCTTCAAGTGGCGATGACAAAATAATAATAAGCGATACTGACTTCTCAATGGCTATGAATTTTCGTTTTCCTCCTCCTGAATTGAATAGCCTATAACAATTACAATCGCAGATGCCATTAGAAATGATTCTCTCAATAAAACTATCGAGAACTCAATTATCAGTAACAATCATAAATCGTTTATTTGCGTACTTTATTTTAAGTAGAGCAACACAATACAATAATATACCTGGTTTATACGAAATTCAGCAGCCTAAGAAAAGTTCGAACTACGTAGACAAACCCTGTATAATTTAAGCCATACAAATTAGACACTGTCACGCAAAGCTATTCGTTGAAAATCTCTTATCTGGCAGACGACCGGTCATTTGACTCAAATGTCTTGTCCATGTAACGTAGAAAAACGTTCAGTCAGTGATTTTATACCAGCGCTGGACGCAATGGCACACTGGCCATAAGATCGCCTCGAAGGCCGGAGGTTCGATTGCACGTGAGGGAGGGACAATCTTTGCAAGGCCTCAAATTTCCTTGAGCAAGGCATTTACCTCACGCTTGTTTCAGCGTGACCATCTGAAAAGCTGGTAACAAGACGCTGACTTGCTAGCAACAGAGGCAGCGTGGTGCTCTGATATGGTCTGATCAAAGTGTGTTGGAGATACGGTTATGCTGTCTGATGCGAGCGCATCAAATGGCTGCAATTCGCCCCATGACCCCCTTGATGGTCAGCGGAAGGTGCAACCCCTCTTGTTTTTGATTTGCTTAGCAGAGTCATTTTATCGCAAATTCGAAATTAGTATATGAAAAACAATATCTACAGCAAATGTGGCCAAATAACACTGCACCAGTATGTTCACAAAAGGGCTTTCCAGATCACACGCCTCAGAGACCATGTCATACGAACACAGATCATCAGTCTACATCGATGCAAATGATTGTGCCGTTGTGCGTTGATAATCTGGGTTTATTGATATAGAGCATGAAGATGGATCAAATGTGATCTGAAGCGTCAAATTGTTGATATTTTGACTAGGTGAAGTAAACCCGTTTCTCATTACGGTAATGAATAATCATTTCTATGCATTAAACGATCCATTCATGTTTCTTAAGGTAATCAAACCAAATAATACCTTAATTAAACTTAAAAAAATACAAATTCAGGAGGGTTGGAGACCGTGGCAAGTCTCCGTAAAATTCAGCCACCTGCCACTCATGGTATTGACGCCTT